CTGTCCGCCCATCAATCATCTATAGCCACATCGAAGACACCTATTCTGGTATCCATGGTGATGTCCACGGCGACTCGGACCAGCCGGACAGCCCGCGATCTGAAGTTTCCTCATCAGCAGGTGAATACATCAACGGGGACGCGGCGGTGAGCGATGAGTACACAGTGGATGCGTTTTTCATCATGGACGGACGGTCACGGAGGAAGTCCACAGGAAACGCCAAAGGAACCATCCAGAGGCACTCCTGCAACGAGTGCGGAAAGTCCTACGCCACGTCCTCCAACCTGAGCCGCCACAAGCAGACTCACCGGAGCATAGACAGCAAGATGGCCAAGAAGTGCCCCACATGTGGGAAAGTGTACGTGTCCATGCCAGCCATGGCCATGCACCTGCTGACCCATGACCTCAAGCACAAGTGTGACGTGTGCAGCAAAGCGTTCAGCCGGCCGTGGCTGCTGCAGGGCCACATGCGCTCGCACACGGGGGAGAAGCCCTTTGGGTGTGCACACTGTGGCAAAGCGTTCGCCGACCGGTCAAACCTGCGTGCTCACATGCAGACGCACTCGGCCTTCAAGCACTACAAGTGTAAACGCTGTGACAAGACGTTTGCACTCAAGAGTTACCTGAACAAGCACTACGAGTCGGCGTGCTTCAAGGGGGCTTTCTCCCCGATGAGCTCACTGAGTGAATGATTGGTTCCAAAAGGTTGACTTTTGTTTGTTTAAATCAGATGTAGCTGGCCTCACACCCTACTTTGTATGCTTTCTCCAACAAGAGTCTTCTCTGCAAGGATCATGAGGCAAAATAACAGATTGAGGACAAGTCCATTTTTATCAAAACCCTCCAATCCCTCCTTTGTCTCCTTTTTTGGAAGTGAGGTGAAAAGTTTGCGATGCGTGATTCAGATCGCCACCTGCTTTGACGAGATAGGTCCACTTTTGAGGCTGTTTTGAGTATACACGTGGATAAATGAAGCACAGTACATCTAGCTCATAATTTTTGAAGATACCTAGATCTATTTATGTCCATATCTATCCTCGTGCCACTTCTTTTTTTCAACCCATGACGAATCAACACTGAAGCACAATTCCTCTCCCATCTCTGTCTTTCTGTGACAGGACTATCACATATAGCATGAATCACATCTTCTTGCAAAGAGATTCAATAAACTTTACAATGTAATGGTTTTTAGAGACAAATAAAACAAAACATTCATAATCTAAGGATAAAGGTGTTATCCTGCTTTTGAAACGGACTTTGGATGGAACTCATAAGGAGATCAAGCATCTAAAAACAATGAAAGCACACTGCATTTGTTTTCTGCAAGTAAGCAAAAATACTTGTGAAGCTTTTAATTTACACTAGGGACATGCTTTGCCTACTGTTTACTGTGTTGGCCACTGACACATTTACACTGAACTGTGATCATTTACAAATCTTCCATACCATGGGATGGCAAGGTACACCTTTGGAGTGGGAAAACAATCTTTATGGTGATTTTCTTTAACCCAATGGACACAGATATACAACATATTTTTAAGTTATCTTTCTGGCATTTGTGCTTTACTTGACAGTAACCTGTGGAAAGTATAAGGGAATAGTTACTCAACAAACAGTGTTTTCCTACAACCTAAATATGATGTTATTTATTTTTACATGTCAATGTCAGATGAGGATTCAGACATTTAAAATGTCTTAATTTTCCCTCTAAAGGTTAAACCTTTTCTCAAGTGTTGTATAAAAGTGTTTTTGTTGCCAGAAGGCCACACAGTGCTCATCTTTAGGTATTTTTAAGTGTCTATTTATTGCCTAATTTATTTATTTATGTTTTTGTAAAGGTATTGATTTGCACCTTACTTTGTTATATTTTGCCTTTGTTACAAATATGCCAAAGCATTTGACACTTTCTAATTACCGAATACCTTTTTACTTTTGTCCGCCACTTTAATTATAAAAACTACTGCATGCAAAAAATAACTATAGCCTAATAATGGAATCTATGCCAATTTTATGAATCTTTGGGATATTTTGCCAAACCTCTTAGATAACAGGCAAATTGAGCAAATTTCTGTCTTGGGCAATATTTCAGTCATATCCGATAGAGCAATAATGCATGATATTTTTGAAGAGACGTGAGTCATAACTGCTTGTAACATCTTGATTTTTTCAAGTACCACTATTCTATGTAGTTATGAGAAAGGAAATTTCAGGGAGTTAGCAAACCAAGTTAGTGTTAAATATGGAGGGTTGGGTTAAGAGCTCTGTATGTGGAGGGAGTGTGACACTGTTGTGATTCTGAGAGGCTTCCCCCAGTGACTTCTCTAATGGTAAAGTGTTCAAACAGATCAAATTAGCAAGAGAGTAGGTTTTCCAATCTCTGCTGATTAGTATGTAATATTATCTAAAACCATAATTCTATCTTGGCATCATTAGCTCGTTGACAATGATGTCTATGTAAGCATTAGGAGCTGTTGGTGCTTCCAGGGATTCACACAGATGACACGACTCCTTCAGTTGGAGGGCTCTGGGTTGGGTCGGGACGGGTCTTTTTGTACATGGTTTATGCACTGCCTGCCTCGTATTATTATTCTAAAAATATTGTAGAAAGTAGAAGGTAATACCATAGACCTCTGGTGCTGAAACATGGATGAAAACACAAACCCAGAACCAGAACGATTGAGAGCTTTGGTGCTTTCTAAGTTCTTGGTTTGAGTAGTTGAATAGGTGAAAAACAACTTTACAACAGCTGTTGTGAGGTTGTTGTGGCAATCCCCAATGAAATTAAAGTGATTGTTGAAGAAGAAAAGAAGACATTTTGTCAATATTTCAGCACCAGAGTGCATCGACAAACACTTAGTCTACTTTGAACTACCGTAGCCTAATATAGCCACAAGCTAGTTTACCTATTCTTATATAAAAGCACTTCCTGTTACGAATTATATCTTACAACTTTTTTTTGTTCAAAGATAGTAGCACAATGAAAGAGTTTAGATTCAGGTAGACAATGCCTTGTATGTAGAAATAACAACCTCTTTCTCCTTTTTCTACACTGATGAATCAAAGGTATCAACAACAACAAAGATGCTGAAATGTCACACGCTGTGTTGTCCTTAAATGACACATGAAAATATGCTTAAAAGTGACACATGGTATAAATAAACTCCTTTATTACACATTGTGTCATTGTTTTACATATTTGTGGGAGAGCATCTTCACCACACCTTTTTTAAGAGTGAATGAAAACTTGACTGTGGCAAGAGGCCTTGTAAATAAGCACCAATTTCTACAGATCTGTATAGAGTGACAGTGATGCAGATGATGATGATAATGATGATGATGATGATGATGATGATGATGATGATGATGATGATGAGGATGAGGATGAGGATGTTGAATTTCTCTGGAGCTTCCTTCTTTGTTTTGAGTTCTTCCTCTGAGGTTTTTTTGGACCTCCAGTGGCAGTTTTAAACAATGTAAAGCACAAAGACAACACTGGGCATTTTGTTTCACTTCCTAAATAAAAACTAGTTAAAAAAAGTTGTGTTGGGATTTTCTTCTTCTGCTTCATTGAACCTTTCACAAGTTTCACTATTTAAATGTATGCAATTATCAAAGGTAAAAGTATTCAACTTATAGAGGCAAAGTCCCTCCCAAAAGCCCAATGGACGTCATCTCTTTCTCTTCATATCTTTTCCCTTCCCTTCGGGAAAAAAACATTGGAGTCACAGGATAAAACACATCAGTTAAGATAACGTTACAGTTGTGTGGAACATAGCTAAGTTATCTAGCGTAGTTAGCTAGCTAAAGCTAATACCCCGCTAGCTAGCTAGCATTGGTGGCGTATATTGTGCAAGACTGAATATCCTGAAAATGCAACTCTCTGTCATTATTTCTCGGATTTTGTTAGAAATTAAAATCAATGTTGGTATGGCGTAATTTGAATTAAATACACTATTTAATTTAAATCAGTTTTATTCTGAAAAACCGGAAGTTCACTAACTATTAACTTAATACTTTTATTCTGAAAATTATTAACTTCCGGTTAGCATTAGCATGTGGCGAAATGCTGCATTTTCAAACCGTGAATTAAAGGTAAAATGACATGTGATGTTGTACACTGAGCACACTGGGTTTAGCACTCATTTATTACCGCTGAATAACGTTTATTAGGGAATGTTCAAATAACCACAGACACCAGAATGATATAATTTAACAACAGAAAAAGGCAGGAATTGCATTGGACCCGCCCCCGACGACGCCGGCCAATAGGAGAAGACCTCAGATGACAACAAGAAGAGCAAGCCAAGAATTGACCTCTTCTACCTGCTGACCTGGAGGATGAGGAGAGCTCCTCCACTCGCACATTTCATTTTGTACACCACCGCATCTTTTGTGTAATTAAATGCTGTTAACTTTTATAAGCTTCCCTTGACTCTTTTCAGTCTCTCCTGCCTTCGGGGTTCTAGAATACACTAACAATTTGATAAAGCTCCTCCATGCTCGGATAAGACATCATACAGCGGTTTTCACAGGCTTATCACAGCAGTACTCATGAGGATGAGTAAACTGACCTTTATGTGAAGAGTCAATGAACGGAAAAAACCATTTTAATATTTGTTTGTTTGTTAGCGGCTGTTATACAAAAGCCCTTCAAAATGATCTGTAGGGGAGAGTGGGGTAAGTAGTGCCAATTTTTACTTAAAGTGCCTTTAAAGCAAGGGGATTACAGTAATGCCTCCAACTAAAATATGTACATATAGTTTAGGATGTTGTGCATCCCTGGGAACAATCACTTCGGATCTTAAATAAACTGTTTGAGAAATATAGCTTTAGAAAAAAAAGTGGTTTTGTGGCACAACTTGCCCCCGGTGCGGGGTAAGTTGTGCCATTAGAGACAATACACTGGGGTAAATTGTGCCATTGATAATTGAAGTAAAACAGATCATTTTAATCTCACAAACAATAATGCTATATAAAAGCAAGACAAATTCAATACAAAATTATTTATTTAATGTTTATTTAAAGTTTTAACAACATCAAAGGCCACTTTTCTATAACAAGGCCTATGAACACCTAACATCCTACTTGGCCAATGCTGCAGGGAAATATGAACTTATGTTCCCTTCTGGCTGTACCACCAAGTTTTGTGGTGTGGCCAATTTGCTTAAACAAGGCCTAGCGCCACATGAACACATACTCAGAACAAAATTAAAATTCCAAAATGAGCACCTAATCATCTGCAAATCATCTGCATCTGAATCTCTTCACAGATTCGGCCTACTACTGAACATCCCACTTGTCAATGCTGCAGGGGAATGTGAACTTATACTCCCTTCTGGCTGTACCACCAAGTTTTTGTGGTGTGGGTAGTTTCTTGAGCACATCACCTCTAGGGATGACTCCTTCATCATTCTCTCTAACGGCCCGTCCACACAGCGGCGTGCGCCGACGCTTGCCGGCGGGCGTGTCTGACACTCGACCAACAACCAATCACATGAATCTCCCCCCCTGACACACAAGCAGCGGTTTGATTGGCTAGAGCTTGTACTGGCATATGATTCGATTGGCTGACGCTTCTGCAGAGGCGTCAAAAGTTGAACATTGCTCAACTTTTGCAGCGAGCCACGCCAGCAACGCTCCGCGTCGCTTCCCACGATGCAGTTCGGCTAAAAGTGACGTCACCCCATTCAAAGTGAATGGGCAGAAGCGTTGGAAGCTTCAACGCACGCCGCTGTGTGGACGGGCTGTAAATGTGAAGATGGGCTTTCCATCAACAAACCTCTTACAACTTTGCTTCAGAAACTTTGCACTGATCTCGTCACCTTCAACATTCTCCACCAATCCAACATAGTTATAGGATTTGGATTTTTTACCTGCAAACTTCACAATGACAAAGTCACCAGCAGACAGATCCTTGTCACCATCATCATCATCACTCTGGACATCTGAACTCTCATAATGAGTGGCATCGCTAAGTGGAATCGGAAAGTCACTCTCTTCTGAGCTACTGGAGAGCACTTTCTTTTTGGGCTTGGTTGGTTTTGACCCTTTCAGAGCCCGTTCCTTTTCTCTGCTGTGTGTCTTCTCCAGGCCATCTTCTGCCTCATCATTGGTGGTGGAGCTTTCTTCTGAGCTACTGTACACAGCTGTTTTCTTCTTGGTTTTGGTTTGATTTGCAGCTTTCAGAGCCCTTTTCTTCTCTCTTTCATTCTTTTTCTTTTCCTGTTCAGCCTTTTTATCTTCTTTTTCTTTGTGAGCCTTCTCCAACTCCATCTTCTCAGGTGTGTCGGTCACGATTCTTGTTTTCACTTTCTTTCTTACAATTTTTTTCTTTTCTTTCTGTGGCTTTTGGCAAGGGAAGAATGACTTCTGGAGACACATAACCCAAGTGAGCAGAAGAACCAGATTTGTCACTTGATAAGTGCTCGGGATTTGTCAGAGTGGCAGGTGGCTCTCCTGGGTCTGGATCTGCTTCAAGGAAAGGAAAGGAACTTTATTGTCATTGAACACAGGGAACAACAAGATTACGTGGTCAGTAGGGGTGTAACGGTACACGTACCCGTACCGAAATTATTCGGTACGGGCCCTTCGGTTCGGTACAGGTGTGTACCGAAGTGTACCGAACGAATATAACGTTAAACGTAAAAAATTGAGAACGTGAATAACTTTTTGGAAGTAATCTCAGGTGCTGCGTCGCAGCATTCGGAGTAATTTGCTCACATTGGGTTCAACGCGTCATAGAGCGAGCAAGTCATTTCATTGGATGAGAGGCATACTATGAGAGCTGGTCAGAGGGATGCGTTCAAATGTAGTCAGTAATTTGAGGAACTGTCAAAAATTAATGGCGAACGCAGATAAAGTTGAGCTCGAAAATCCTCCAGCATCATTGAAGTCTCCGGTTTGGGAACATTTTGGTTTCGCAGTTACGTACAAGGATGACGGACAAAGACAGGTGGACTGAACTAAAGCTGTTTGTCGGCATTGTTCAACTAAAATTGGTTACGCGGCTGGCAATACATCAAACTTGCACACTCTTGAAAAGGCATCACCCGAACGTGAATATCACCGGTAAAAAAAGAAAAAAAAGACTGAAGTGCAAACCCAACTCCCGCTAGCATGTAAGCCTCCACTACTCGCAGAAAGTTTAGACCGAGCCAAAGCTATTACAAACACCAAATATCCTTATGTTGCCATGTTAGCAAAGCGCTACCTGGCTGTATCTGCTACCTCTGTCCCTAGCGAGGGGGTTTTCTCCACATCAGGAGACATTGTTAGTGCCAGCAGATCTGCCCTTTCGGCAAGCAATGTGGACAAGCTAATTTTTCTTTTAAAAAAAATGAAAATACAATGACAGCAAGTCCTAATGTCAAACTGGCTGCTTAGGTGCTAGTACAGTACAGTTCAAATACAGATTATTTCAGTTCATCGAAATGCTGCACCTTAATGTTCATTTTATTATATTTTGTATTTATTTGAGTGAATATTCACAGTTTAATAATAATTAAAAACCCAAAACTAATAGTTTATGTTTTGTGAGTACTAGTACAGTAAAGTTCAAATACAGATTATTTCAGTTCATCGAAATGCTGCACCTTAATGTTTATTTTATTATATTTTGTATTTATTTGAGTGAATACATTATTCACAGTTTAATAATAATAATAATAAAAAAATATATATATATGTTTTGTTTTGTGAAAAAAAATTCTGCTGTACCGAAAACGTACCGAACCGAACCGTGACCAAAAAACCGAGGTACGTACCGAACCGAAATGTTTGTTAACCGTTACACCCCTAGTGGTCAGGTGGAGGGTACGCCTGAGCCATGCCACTATGCGCACCGCCACTATTGGCCTACCAGACTGTTTTTTAAAATACCTGTGACATGTGTTGGCTCATGAGATGGTCCAGGCAGGTGACCAGCTGCACTGGTGGAGGGCTCTTCTCCAGGCAGGTCAGCAGTGGCACTGGGTTCATCTTCTGGATTTGCCCTGTCTGTCACCATTGATGGTGCATAGTCTTCTTCCGGGAAGATGTCCCTGTTGAAAGGGTATATGCCTGTTGCTCTGAAACCTGAGGTTATGTTTGTTGGTGACATTGCAGAGAGGAACGCTTGCTTCACAAGTTCCGAGACCTCATAGATCGATACGGTTCGCCCAGGATGTGATCGCATCCACCCATCCATCGCTCGGTTATAGTAGGTTTTGAGTGGTCCATAGACAGTTTTGTCTAATGGTTGCAAACGGTGTGAGGTGGCAGGGTGAGCATAATGACCCCATTCTCTTTAGCAATTGTCACTGACTTGAGTGAGATGTGAGACTCATGGTTGTCAATGAGCAGGACTGGGTGATCGGTGGAGCAGTTGGTGTGGCGGATGAAGTGCTTCAGGAAGATGAGGAAGGCGTCTTCATTCATCCATCCAGACTTTGTACAATGACCAATGGAACCTGCTGGTGATCCATTGAGGAGGCTGTCCTTGAAGCGGACACGCGGGAAAATGAACATGGGTGGGACTGCATTTCCAGTGGCGTTTACTGCACAGGCCACAGTGACGAGCTCTCCTCTTTCAGCAGATGTTACTGAACCCACTTGTTTCTTCCCTTTCTCTGTGACAACCTGCTTGGGTGTCTGCACTGTCGTCACACCAGTTTCATCCATGTTGTACATCATGTGTGGAGGGAAGCTGTACCTGAAATGAAATAAAAGGTAGTGCTGATGATCAGAGACGTTTAAAGCAGTTTTAACATACTTGGATGTGGTTGTGTGTGTAAATGTGAACTCTGCTGCCGAGGACAGAAGACCCTCTAGAGATGCTGTGCCCTCTCGCCAGGCTGCCAGGCTACCTAGTCAGGGTGTGGGTGGGTGGGTATGTGTGTGAGAGAGAGAGAGAGAGAGTGAGTGTGTGTGTGTGTGTGTGTGTGTGTGTGTGTGTGTGTGTGTGTGTGTGTGTGTGTGTGTGTGTGTGTGTGTGTGTGTGTGTGTGTGAGAAAGAGAGAGGGGGGGGGGGGGGCTCAGAGTGTTCATGTGAACATATCAGCATGTCAAAGCCAGATGATTATTAAGTTACCTGTCCATCACTTTAGAGAGGTTATCAAAGAACTCCCCCACGTTGTGCTTATTAAAGGCAGTAGCTCTTCCAAGAGAGGTTGCTTCAGGAACGCGGCATGCCAAATGGTAGCGTGCTTTAAAGGCGTTGAACCAATCAGGTCCTAGAAAAGGTTAAAAGTTTATCAGCACATTGCAGTTTACATTCAGATAAGTTGAAGCTATCCGCTCCAAATAACTATCCAATAGCCTATACTTGATCTAACCTGCTTTTTCGTCTCTGGTCCAGCTGGCAGGCATGTCAATGCTATTTCTTTGTGCGAACTCAAAAGCCAGTTCACGGCATTTCATGACACCTATGCCATGAAACATTGCTGCTAGTGTCTTAATATGGTCAGCCAGCTCTTTCTCCATGTTCTCATTGAAGACTCGTTTGGAGACTGCTGTTCTTTCATAGCCTGGCTTTGTTACTTCTCCTATTTTTTTCTTATCCATATATCTTTTTATGGTCATCCTGCAGATCTTCATCTCCTTTCCAACCTGACGTATGGTCTTCCCCTGTTGCACCTCTTTCACTGCTCTTTCCAACTCCTCAAGAGGAGTTGAAACCCTGTCTGTCTTCCTTTTGTATTTGCGTGGCATGATGGATTTTGGTCTAAAATTAAGAATGTCACATAGTTTTAGTGATCAAATGTAAGAATACAATGTACAATAACAATAAAATACAATAAAGTAATATATAGTAAATAATCATAAGTTGTGCCACTGGCACAACTTAACCCAGGCCCTTTGGCACAAATCACCCCAAGCCCACCATTTTGAAAAAAATGCATCCCCCAGCTGTTTTGAGCTAGCATCATGCTAACTGTATAGACTCATGGTGTAGCTTACTAAAGCACTAAAACATGTGTGAACTGTTTTCAAAGTTGTCTAAATTGTTGAAACACAGCAATCAAAAAACCTTGATCATAGAAATTTTACTTTGGAGGGCAAACAATTGTTTTTTTAACTTAAATGTGCTTACCTCTCAAGCCATGTGTCTCCCTTCTTTGCAGGATGATTGAAATGGATGCGTCTTCAAAAATATGTGGTCACATGACCAACTTCTTCTATGGTTTTCTAGATAACAGGGGTGGCAATACTTGCCCCTTGGCACAAATTACCCCACTCTCCTGCTTCTGGTAAGCTTACAAAAGAGCCTTTCAATGCAGCGCCTTCTGAAGTATTAATGAATCATTAGCATATTGATAAATTATCACGTTAATAACTAGCATGGGCAAACTGTGAACATTTGCTTTTATTCTTCACTAAACGGTCATTGATTATTTGTAAAATATTCATTAAGATAATATGCCTTCAGCACAAAAACTGTAAGTTATATACAGCGCCAGCTCACCTTCGTTTTACCCTGTGGCGACTGTGCAGAGGTCAAAATCACTAAGTGACTGTGTGTGTGTGTGTGTGTGTGTGTGTGTGTGTGTGTGTGTGTGTGTGTGTGTGTGTGTGTGTGTGTGTGTGTGTGTGTGTGTGTGTGTGTGTGTGTGTGTGTGTGTGTGTGTGTGTGTGTGTGTGTGTGTGTGTGTGTGCGTGTGAATGATTTTAATTGCTTGTGTGAGCTTAGCTATCATACATGAACAAGGAAGCTGATCTCAAGGATTGTCTTTACCCTTGCGAGACATTGTGTTACATGTATGTACTTAAGTGTGGATGTGAATATTTGTTTTTGATATAAACATCCATGTTTTCGTTTTTATTTGGTTAAAATGAATTAAGGTTGTAAATATGTAGACAAGAACAATTGTGGATACAATATTCATAAAAACCAAATGCAGTAGGCTATGCTATTGTAATAAACGTAATGAGATGACACTCCCAGTGATGATAGTAACAGCTGCTCTACTATTTGAATTGGCCAAACAATGATCTGTCTGAATTTACATAGTAATGCAAAACCTGTAAAACCATGTGAGTTAAAGACAACAATTCTAAAAACCTTCCTCAATAAGCAATATGAGCAAAACAAGAGTGCTTTACAGTAATGTGCAGCTTGTGAACAAAAACAATGTATGAGTATGAGCTACACAATGTCACAAGCTCCTGCCACCCTGTGTGCACAGATTGATTAAAGAGAACTTTGGATTTAATTAAGTGTGTGCATGTTTTATTGAAGTGCAAGTGTGGTTTGAATCAATCATATTGTATAAAATAAAAGAAGAACAATAGGGCCCTTTCTCATTACTCTAATTCCCCTCCTCGACTCCTATCCTTGTGTCTTAGTTCCACCCACAGGAGATGCGAGCGGAGGAGTTGAGGAAGGGAACCGAGGAGAGAGGAGGGGAAATTAGTGAAATGAGAAAGGGCCTAGGACACCAGAGACTGCAGGTATGTTGTGTCTTCATGTATTTGCATTTATCTTTCTGGACTTGATAGGGAAAACAGTTTACAATTATTCCCTGAAAAACAACAGCATTTTAGTTCAGCTTTCCGGTTTTTTGCCCCTAATTTTTACATGTTTGTTTATTTAGGCTATATGTACTTGTATGTGTGGATTTTCTATATGTACATTTGTATGTTAATGTGGAAAGAAGCTTTTGTATACATGTTGTTAAACGTATTGGTCTCTCAGTTTATGTTGTGTGTGGGTCTACAGCCATGCTAGCTGCTCTGTAAAGCTCTACTTATATGGTGCGGTTATTTAAGCTAATACTAACGTAAGCATGCTGTTAACATGTTTAGCAGGTACACAGTAAAATCCGGAGTGTTAATTTAATACTCTGAGATAAGGACCATATGTTCACTGGCTCTCAGTGTTGAAATTGACTCTTTAAGTGTTAATTTAACACTTAAATCCCTCCCTTTAAGTGGTCAACACTTAAAGAGTCAATTGTAACACTGCCGGTTGGCCAGTGAACATATGGTCCTTATCTCAGAGTGTTAAATTAACACTCCGGATTTTACTGTGTATGTTGTTTACCATGTTTACAATGCAGCCTCCTAAAGAGTATTACCATATGACATAACATTTTAAGGGAATTTATATCAAATATTTATCTAATTAAAGACTGTCTCCACTTTCACCCAGACCTGTGTTTGTTTTCTGTGTGAAACTAAATGTTGTATTTTTATGTATTCTTAAACTGAAATAAAATTACATTTGTGCTTATTTTATGCTAAACATAACCAAGTAGTTTTGTTGCATTATGTTAACATTTACAAAGTTAATCAAAACCTGTAACTGTATATTTTGGGATAAAATACATTAAACTCAAAACATAATTGAGAATGCAGTTTAGTTGTATGGGAACGTTATCGGAGACAGGGTTGAATGGTGTTAGTTTAGCATGTAAGAGGACATTAGATTTAAATAATCTTTTGGAGATATTTATTTCTAAGTCTTACGTAAGAGGGTCTCAATAACACAGTAACTTAGAGCACCATTGCCCACATTTATAGGAACCCAATTGACTAGGATTGGCTACCATCTGCCAGGACTTCACCTCTAAAGACAAATGACCTTCTATTAAAAGGTGATTGATTTTCTCCTCGTACTAAAGATATTGATTTTCTTATATTGCCTCTGGTCCACTAATGATACTAATTCTAATATTCACTGGACCTGAAAAAAGGCTTCCGAGCTATAATAGCTACTGTCAGAGAAAGTGTGTGTGTGTGGCTATGTGTGTGTGTGTGTGTGTGTGTGTGTGTGTGTGTGTGTGTGTGTGTGTGTGTGTGTGTGTGTGTGTGTGTGTGTGGCTGTGTGTGTGTGTGGCTGTGTGTGTATGTGTGTGGCTGTGTGTGTATGTGTGTGGCTGTGTGTGTAGTGTGTGTGTGTTTTATGCAAACATCTATAAAATCCATACTAGCATTATTTCACTTGGTTCTAATGCTCTTCATTGCATTACAGCAGCCTGTATAGATCACCTGCAATATAAGGAGTTTCAACCAAAGGGGAAGTAAAATACAGAAATGTTGTGAAAACAGAGGTGTACATTCTCTACCCATACTTCTAGAAATCTACAGCGGACAAGTTCACTACATCTTTGTATTGTAACATCATGAATACATTACAATGAGGTAGCTTTGAATTTGTCTGAAACAATAATCACTAGCTAGGGCTGTAGCTCAAATAAAAACAATGTCTGTCTAAATATTTCCACAACCATATGATGGATTTCCTTGACATTTTGTACAGACATACGTGTTCCCCAGAGGATGTTCCATATTGACTTTGGTGACACTTTGACTTTTCCTTCAGTCTACACACGATTAGTGGGTTGACATTTGTGATTTTGATTGAAATCTTAGAATGTAAAATGTGGCACAGATAAATGTGTCTTTATCAAAATAAATCTTTGGTAATGGTCTAGCTTTTCTCTAGTGTGTGATAACATGATTCACTTAGTTGCTGAAGACAGTAGGCTGTATACCCTCTTGCCAAACACAAACAAACAGAATGATTGATAAATAAAAATAACAGTCCACCCTAACCTTTACCAGATAAAGAAAATGAGAGATAAGGAGAAGAAAAGCCATATAGAGAATATTTTATTTATTGCTTCAAAGCATTTTAATATGCTAATTCCTGTTTCCCATGATGTCTGACCTTCTAGCCTTCAGCAGATGACGAGAATAAATAGTTCATACATTGTCCCCTATGTAGTTTTCACCTTAAATAATGTATTAAAAGCAGAATGGCTGAGAAACTCCAACCTACACAGTGAGCACCATTACTTAAAGACATCCGACCTTTTTTAAATAGGATAACTCAAACTGAACGAGCATGTTTAAGATAAATCTTTGCTTCATTTTGTGTCTGGAAAATATTCTTCCCTTCACTTTTACAAGTAAGTATCTCATCCCAGAGCAATCTTTGAATTCACTGTAACTGACTAGATGTGGCTTCACACTAGTTAGATCCCCTGTGGTTAAAAACTGAAAGCTCATCCCATAGTGAAATTAGTTTTAGGTGCGCTCAGGTGATTTGTCTCATTTGTATGACATGCTGATGTGTAAAGGAGTGAGAAAAGGGCTTGTCCGGCGTGATTTGCCCAGTCTGAGTGGGAAGCATTGAGTAAGGAGTCCTAAAACTTTTTCTTTTTTTTAAATGTGTATCTTATATTACAAATGAGGATTTCCTAGTGGATTCTTAAACTCTTTCCCAGTCTCAAAGTAGTTTGTAGATCATGTTTTCAAAAAACAAAATAATATGTTTCACAAAAACTCAAACAATCACCGAACATAAACATATTCGTACATTTGTGTTATGTATACATATGCAAAGCAAGAGGTTGGATGACTTTATTACAAAGCCACAATGTCCATAGGTGGAAAAGATAAGGGTGGATGGAGGGATCAGAAAAACAGGAACGCACATTGAACCCATTGTTTCCTACCGTCAATATTGGTTTCCTTTGTGCCTAAGCCTATAAAACCTAGGCGGTATCATACTTAAAATTGGATTCAGCGGAGTTGCTGGAAATGTCACCTTGTGTCATTTTTTGTTTGATTTTTAGACCATATGTGTTGTGTTGACAGTATTAGAATGACTGTGCAGGCCACAATGTATTTGTTGCAATGAAATTACTACAGATATCAATTTGCTAAATATAAGATCTCCTGAGAACTCCTTTGATGATTATTATTGTCTGTTATTATATAAATTAAGAATCAAAACTAGGGCTGTCAAGTTAACGCAACAAAAACAATAACGCCACTAATTATTTTAACGTGATTAACGCATGTGTATTTTTGTCCTCCCCATAGTTTCAGAGCGCATCAAGTTTAAAATACATTCTACAAGCTGATGCTGACAGCCCCGCTCCTGCCGTCCGCTTGCGGCAGACCACACTTCCACGCTCACCGGCAGGCACCGACTGACCATCGGGAGGACCGGGAGGGTGTGTGTATGTGTGGCACGAGCGAGCGAGCAAGAGAGAATGTGCACACCTTACGTGTATTGTTGTTGTTAGCATCTGGTGCTAGCTAGCTGCGCTAACGGATATAAGGAGATGTTTCAATGAAAACAGAGGAGCGACATTTCGCCGAGCACTTGACTTTATGCAGGAAGCCAGACAGTGGGACATTGTACGAAAAGTCAGCAC